CGACGCGGCCAAGCACAGGCTGCTGGTGCTGGTCAAGGACAATGGCGAGCCCGCGCTGTCTGCCAGCGTCACGCTGCACGTGCTGCTGGTGGATGGCTTCTCGCAGCCCTACCTGCCGCTGCCGGAAGTGGCGGCCGACCAGGCGCAGGCCGACCCGCTGACCGTGTACCTGGTCATCGCGTTGGCGTCGGTGTCGTCGCTGTTCCTGTTCTCGGTGCTGGCGTTCATCGCGGTGCGGCTGTGCAGGCGGAGCAGGGCCGCCTGGGTGGGTGGCTGTTCGGTGCCTGAGGGCCACTTTCCGGGCCACATGGTGGACGTCAGCGGCACTGGGACCCTGTCCCAGAGCTACCAGTATGAGGTATGTCTGACGGGAGGCTCAGGGACCAGCGAGTTCAAGTTTTTGAAGCCAATTCTTCCCAATATTCAGGAACAGGGCCTTGAGAGGAATAGTGAAGAAAACCCCACCTTTCGTAATAGCTTTGGATTTAATTTTTAGTAAAAATTCTTTTTATATTTTCGTGTACTTTTGAAGTGTTTTACAACCGTATAAATATTAGTTTAGTTTTAAAACTCCACGTTAAATTATTATGCAACTTCAAGCCTAATATTTTTTATCTTTTTTTTTTTTCCGGAGGGAGAAAGGGAGAGGGAGCTAGAAACATCAATGATAAGAGAGAATCATTGACCTGCTGCCTCCTGCACGCCCCCTATTGGGGAATCGAGCCTGTAATTCTGGCATATGCCCTGACAGGGAATGGAACCATGATTTCTGGTTCATGGGTGATGCTCAACCACTGAGCCACAAGGACGGGCAAACCTAATTTTAGAGTACTTTATAGCTATGTCTTTACAGTGTTCTTTCATCATATTTGCATTAATCAACAGTTTAATTAGCACCCATTTTAAAATAATCGTTTTAAGGTTTGATTCTTTGACAATATACAGTGATTTTAGTTATTTCTCATTCTAGAAAACAGGTTTTTATTTTTCTCTTAGTATATTTCACAGACTGCATCTCATTCTATCCACCCCTCTATTGTATTTCCTCCATGTAAGAAGACATATGTGCACGTCTGACCTTATTCTAACATTGTGTTTAATCCTATTAGAAATCCATGTCATCTAGTTCTAAATCATAGCATTTAAAAAGAAATAGTTCTCTATTATTCTGCTATGATAAAATGAAGCATCATTTTGTGAGCAATGTTGGACTCTAGTAATATCCTTGTTTATATTATTATGTCATTTTCTTTACATACACTACTCTTACCCAGTATTTTCTAATGTTCACTTTTGCTGATATGTTATATAGAACATGTTATATAATTCAGGGAAAATGTAATAATGTGCATGAAAATGATTATAAATAAAATCATTTTGAAAGTTTGAATGTGAGAACATTGGCAAACTGTTGAAAAGATATTTACTTTTCATTTTATTTTGTAAATTTGTTTAATTATCAAATTTAAAAATGAAGATGTACTAAATTCGTAAGGAAAAACAATAGATTTTTTCTATCTCCAGATACTTTCTATAAGTGGTTTCTCTAGAACTGACCTCAATATTTCTAAGTAATACATTTATATTCCTCTATCTTGAGATTCAGCTTCATACTTTAATCGCCTCTTTCTATGATAAAAAAGGATTGAACTTTTTTACTTTTCAACTAACAAACACATGTATATTGCTCACTTCCTTTCCCCTGTTTTCCCAATAGAGTTGTCATAGTTTTTTAGTTAAACTAGTTGTTTTTGTCTATACTATAGGTATGATTATTTCAAAAATACAGGTTGGAGTACTATGATTACATTTACTTTCTTGAAAAACATTTTTCCTAGAGCTGATAATTGTTGTTTTTACTTGCAGAATTTTCTACTTGTATTAATTTTTCATATTATTATTCATTTGAATATTAACCTTCCTCCTTAAATATTCAAATATACCAGATATCTATTAATTATATTTATTTCCTTGAGATCTTCCACACAGATCCCTTCATATCACTGCTTCATTTACACTGGTTGCTGTATAAGCAATCACCCTAGGGCTTTTTTTCTTTTAATACTTTCCCTTATTGGGTTCCCTTTTACAAAATCCAGAGTATTCTTCTTTTTTAGTTTACTCCTTTATTTAGCTGACACACATCTCTTAATCCTATATAATAAAAGCCTAATATGCTAACTGTCTGACCATTCGTTTGACCATTCAACCAGTCACTACAACATGCACTGACCACCAGGGGGCAGATGCTCCCACCAGTAGGTTAGCTTGCTGCTGAGGTATGGCCAATCAGGACTGGGCGAGATGAGCTGGACATGACCTGGAGCCCTCCCGCGGTCCCTCCCCGGCTCCAATCGTGCACCAGTGGGGTCCCTTGCCTGACCTGCGCCCTCTAGCAATCCGCTACCCCTTGGGGGATGTCTGAGATTTTGGCCTGATCCCTGCAGGCTACAGAGCCTCTAGTAGTTTCATAAAAATGGGTGCAGATAACTTGTCTTGTGAAGGTATTGTCATTTTCTTTCCATTTGATTGATAGTTTGGCTGGGTATAAAATTTTGGTTGAAAATAATTTTCCCTCAGATTTTGAAAGCACATTACATTTACTGATTGTATATACAGTTGCTGTTCTTCTGATTCCATTCTGATTCCTATCTCTTTTAATGCCAATCCATTTTTTTTCATTGTGGATGCATTGGAAACTTTCCCCTTGATTTCTGAAAATTCCTTAGTGTCAGCTATTTATTATTCTGGCCACATGGGTGTACCCCATTAATGTTTAGACCCTCATTCAATTCTGAGAAATTTTCTTGTTGTTTCCTTCACAATTTCCCCCTTGAATTTTCTACATTCTCACTTTAACCAGAATCTCATCAGTTAAATATTGGATCTCCAGGATTGAATCTCTAATACTCTATTTTTTCTTTATTTTTTTTCTTTGTCTCTTGTTCTACTTCTTGGACAATTGTTTTATCATCCAATTCTTATATTTGTTTTCTTTTGGGCTTGCAAATATTTATTTTTAAGAGCTCTTTGAGTTTTATGAGTATTTTTCATAGCATCCTGTTATAGATTTGTAAATGTAATATCTTCTCTTGTCTGTAATCAATCTAGTTATTCTTTTAAAATGCACTATGCAAAAAAATGAATTATTCAGTAAAACTGGGAGAATCACAGGAAATTTAAGAACCTACTCAAAATTATATAGCTAGTAAGGGGCACTTAAGCCCTAATTTACTCTTTATGTTACAATAAGATTACATACTTCATACAGTTACTGTTAAGATTAAATGGGTATACACACATATATGGCACTAGAACAATTGGTAGCAAAAAAGTAAATACTCAATAAGTATTAATTCTTATTAGATTTTACTACTCATTTTAAAGACTTTGCTTCTGTTTTCTTTATTATATATGCTTGTTTCCTGATGTTACTTTTTTGTGGTGTTTTGGCCTTTTTATGTCATGTGTAGGTATTTCCTCAAATGTCTTGTGGTCTTTGTCTCTCTTCTTATATTTAAGAATGATGAGATATCATAGTGCTGACAGTCAGCTCTTGTGAATATATGAGGCCTGTTGATGGCAGGGCTTCACTCTAATGTAACTATGTAGGATATAGCTACTCCCTTGGGAGGTCCTCAAATATCAGTATGTTTAAGTTTTTATCTGTGTCTTTCATATCCTCCAGGTTAGAATTCTGCAATATCTTCTGTGAGACAGAGAGTTAGGGAGGGGATCGGGCATATGCCTTGTGTCCTACAATTGGTGAGTATTGTTTGTATCACCTTGCAGGATACATTTTTGCTTAATGTTTCTATTTTTACTTTCATACCTCACACTTGCACTCAGCTCTGCCCAAGGTCTCTAAAACTAGACATAGTCCCATTTAATTTCTCAATTGAATAAATTTTCCATTTTCTGGCCCCAAGTTTTTTTTTCCTATGTAGGATAATAGAATCTGAGAATTCAACTTTCCTATATATGTACAGTCAACTCACAACTTATGTTTAGTTCTCAACTGACTTCAGTCGTCTTATACACTTGATTCCTAAAAAGCTTGTACCTAAATGGGGTAATGTGGGACAAATTCACTACTTTATTGTGAATATCTTCAATGCAAGAACTTTACTTTAGACATTTCTTAGAACTGCTAAGTCAGCTGCCCTTCCATCTGCTTATTGTTATCAAATATATATGTGTTCACTTGCACATTCTTAGTCTTTGTGAGTTTATACCATTTTTATTTTTATCATTACAGAGGGTATTTTAAAAGAATGGAGAATAGCTTTGTGTAGTCAATCCACTTATTTTTAAATTTCTACCCTTTTGTAGTGATTGATTTTCAACCATGTAGCTAACTTACATTTTCAAAGAATGTAATTTGTACTTAATATGTTAAAAATGCAAACTTGTTAAATCTCTCTTCCATCCATTCTTGAGAGCACTTTTGAGACCTCCTATAGTGCACATTATTGCTGAGCTCCTAGCATCTATTCCAAAGAATCTCTCTCATTATGTAGCAACCATGCCCTTTAGCTAGTAAGAGGCCGTCAGAGACAGAATTAAAACAAAGTAAAGGCCGAAGCTGGGTCTTCAGATTCTGAGACTAAAATCTCCACCTATAATTCTATACCTCTTGAAACAAGATTGCTTCAGGAGCAGGTATATGATCTTAGTTGGTCTAATCAGAGTAAAACTAAGTTTTTGTTCTATGATTGGTAAAGAAAATCTCCCTCTGGGCTGAAAGAAAAAGCAGATCACCATAGTCATGATTGGTAAAGAAAATCGCCTCCCTCTGGGCTGAAAGAAAAAGCAGATCACCATAGTTGTAGCCAGAATAAATCTTGGGAACTTAAAGGAAACCAATTTTAGGAGTAATTCTGCTTCAAATAAAACTAACATGTTTGTGTTTGTGTACTTATTTTTTTGTAAATTGTGAGGAACTAGAACTAAATTATAGATTTACATAATGTGTTCCACTCCAATAGCTTTTATTTAATTTCTTCCAGTTCACAAGTCATTGATATCAAAGAAATCTAATGAAATGTCTTCTTGTGCTACAACAACTATCTATATATGTCCCATCTCATGATTAAGCCAGTTTCATATCTTCTGAGGGGACTTCTGAAATGACTCATGTACACTTTCCCTTTCCCTTACCACCTAAAGAAAGCCAGGTAGTGATGGGCTTTTGCTCAGTTTAACCGTCATTTATACTCTCCTTATTTCAGGCTTTCAATCCTCTCAGAAAGATTACAAGCTCTTGGAGGCCAGGAATTTTATCTTGTATTTCTGTATTCATCACAAACTGAGCACTTTCCGTGTTGGGAGAGTGGGGAGGGACACTTAAATGCGTTAAAACAAATACTAACAGCATCAAAAACTACAAAGACTATAAATCAATTCTTATGGAAGATAGAATATATTTGCAATCACTTAAACACAATGAATACAACATTTGTTTCTAGGGGACAATATGTGAATGGTATTTAGGTAGCTTTCATCAAACTGAAAATCTGTGGAGACGCATGGTGGCGCTGCAGGATAATATCGTGGGGAGAAAAACTACGCTGATGACACTGTTACCCACTGCACACAGAGCACTGGGGAGAAAAAAACCAACAAGCTGCAAGGAAGGCGAACTAGAAGCTAATAAAAAACGGTTAAAATCCTTAGACCTTCCTAAGATTCGGTGGACATAGCAGAGGCACATTTCCCAGAACTGCGAAGTGGAGCTGAAGCAATTCCGCAGGAAGCCTTGGGGAAAGGAGCTATGGAGAACGGAGGAACTGGCACCCTGCGGATAAGGCAAGTCCTGCTGTTCTTTGTTTTTCTGGAAATGTCTCGGGCGGACTCTGAGTCTGGGCGCTTTTCGGTGGAAGAGGAAATGAAGAGCGGGAGCGTTGTAGGCAATTTGGCAAAGGACCTAGGACTGGATGTGGGTGAGCTGTTCTCAAGGGGGGCTCGGGTGGTCTCTAATGATAACAAACACCATTTGCAGCTGGACTTAAACACCGGGGATTTGCTCTTAAGCGAAGCGCTGGACCGGGAGGAGCTCTGTGGCTCCATCGAGCCCTGTGTTCTGCACTTCCAGGTATTAATGAAAAACCCTTTGCAGTTTTTACAGATTGAGCTCCAGGTCAGGGATATAAATGACCACTCCCCTGTCTTCTTAGAAAAAGAAATGCTCCTAGAGATCCCAGAGAATAGTCCTGTGGGCTCTGTGTTCTTACTGGAAAGTGCGAAGGATTTGGATGTAGGAATCAATGCTCTAAACAGCTACACAATAAGCCCCAACTCTCATTTCCACGTTAAAATGAGAGTCAATCCAGACAATAGAAAATACCCAGAGTTGGTTCTGGACAAGGCGCTGGATTATGAAGAGCAGCCGGAGCTCAGCTTCATCCTCACTGCTCTGGATGGTGGGTCTCCGCCCAGGTCTGGGACGGCCTTGGTTCGGGTGGAGGTCTTGGACACTAATGACAACTCCCCGGAGTTTGAGCAGCCCTTTTATGAGGTGAAGATTCCGGAAAATAGCTTACTAGGCTCACTGGTTGTCACAGTCTCCGCTTGGGATTTAGATTCTGGAAAAAATGGAGAGATATCATATACTTTTTCCCATGCCTCAGAAGATGTTCACAAAACATTTGAAATTAATCAAAAGTCTGGAGAAGTTAGTTTAATGGCATCGTTGGATTTTGAAACAATTGAATCATATTCAATAATAATACAAGCCACAGACGGGGGAGGGCTTTTTGGAAAATCGACAGTCAGAATTCAGGTGATGGATATAAATGACAATGCCCCTGAAGTCACCGTGTCATCAATTACTAGCCCAATTCCAGAAAACTCGTCTGAGACCGTGGTTCTGGTTTTTAGTATCCTAGACAGAGATTCTGGGGACAATGGGAGAATGCTTTGTTCTATCCCAGAAGACCTTCCATTCATACTAAAATCTTCAGTAAAGAATTACTACACATTGGAAACAGAGGGAGCACTGGACAGAGAAAGCAAGGCCCAGTACAACGTCACCATCACCGTCACCGACTTGGGGACCCCCAGACTGAAAACCCAGCACAACATCACCCTGCTGGTCTCCGACGTCAACGACAACGCCCCCGCCTTCACCCAAACCTCCTACACCCTGTTCCTCCGCGAGAACAACAGCCCCGCCCTGCACATCGGCAGCGTCAGCGCCACAGACAGAGACGCGGGCGCCAACGCCCAGCTCACCTACTCGCTGCTGCCGCCCCACGACCCGCAGCTGCCCCTGGCCTCGCTGGTGTCCATCAACGCGGACAACGGCCACCTGTTCGCCCTGAGGGCGCTGGACTTCGAGGCGCTGCAGGCGTTCGAGTTCCGCGTGGGCGCCACG